CATGGTGTGAGGTTTTAGCTTCATCCTTTTGCATGCACATATCTAGTTTTTAAAACACTATTTGTTGAAGAGAGTATTATTTTGTGTCTTGGCACCTATGTTGAAAATTAATTGGCCATAGATGTATGGGTTCTTTCTGAACTTTCAATTCTATTCCACTTGTCTGTGTCTTTTTATGTCAGTACCAAACTATATTGATTGATGTAGATGTGAATTGCATTTTAAAATAGGAAAACGCGAGTTCCCCAGACTATTTGGGGTGCTTTGAAATGTTGTATAAATTTTAAGATAAGTTTTCCTATTTCTAGAAAAAAAGGCTACTTGAAGTACATCTGGAAAGGGCAATGAAAGTGGGACTAAGCCAAGAAGGGTTACAAAAAGTCGAAGAGTTCCAGATCCCCTCCTCACTCTTTGAAATAGATGATTTATCCACTGTGCCCTGGAAAAAGACTCAAGTATTATTAGGAGAGTTTTCAGTTGAGGGTCTCTGGAATGGGAGGCTTCAAGCATAATTGAGGTTAGAAATCCCATATTGCAACCAGGAGTTAAGTGAACATATTCAAAACAATTAATGGACATTTGAGAAGAGAAAAGTCTCTAATGTGAAACACAGAGAGGGTTGAGAAGAAACTTGAAGGAAACTATGCAATAATAGGAATTCTTTTTAAAAAGAGATCGACATTTCCTTAGAGGTAAGAGGTAATAATATAGCTATGAAACAAATACAGGATACTTCAAAAAAATTTTTACTTAATACTGGGAATTTAACTTAGTGGCACTGTACCACAGAGCTAAGTTCCCAGACCTTTTTTTGAGACAGGTTCTCACTAAGTAACTGAGGGAATTAATAAATTGATGAGGCTGGCCTTGAACTTACAATCCTCCTGCCTCAGCCTCCCAAGTTGCTGGGCTTTCAGATGTGTGCCATTGAGCTCCGATGATACTATTTTTAAACCAGAAGATGTGCTCTTGGGGATTAAAAATACATTATCAGAAATTAAAAGCTCATTAGATGGGTTGAAATCTTCCAGGAAGTAAAGCCAAATAAGTAGAGATAGAGAGACAGATAAGTGATAGTTTTTAAAAATGAGAAACAAAAAAACAGAAGAAATAAGAGCTTCAGACCAGAAGATGTGACTTTTCAAAAATATGAATTTCAAAAAGAATAGAAAAAATACATGGAAGGAAATGATCGACAATTCAAGAAAAATCCCAAAACTAAAGGTCATAAATTTCCAACTAGATCAAGGGTCTAAAAGTAGAGTATGTCTGGCACTTAATACTCATGAGATGGAGCCAGTAGAGAAGTTAAGGTTGTAAATACACCAACACAAGTATATACTCAATATAGCAAAATGCTGTGAATTCAGGAAGGAATCTAAGTGGATGTAGTGATTGAGATAGAGAACAGTGTGGCTACAGTAGAGTGTGTGAAAGGGATACAGAAAGAAGAGGTCAGGGAGTTTACAGGAGTGACTGATAAGTCTTAGCAAAGAAAGGATTTGGGACTTTGAGTAAAATAAGGAATTATTACAAGATTTTGAGCTGAGGCAGGCTATTATTTGACTCAAATTTTTTACTTTCTATTTTAAAATTAGAGACTCTCAGGAAGCTGCAAAGACAGTGCAGAGGGCCCATGTTTGCTCAGTTGGATAGATCTTGCATAATTACAGTATAAAACCAGGAATTTGACATTTTTGCATTGTGTTGTGTATTGTCATATGTAAATTAGTGTAAACACTAAAATCAAAACACAGCATTATTCCATCACTACAAATATCTCCTTTGTGCTTCCCCCTTAGTTACAAACCCAGCTTCTACCACCACTATCCATAACACCTTCCAAACAATAAACATTTTTCCATTCCTAAACTTTTATTTCTGGAATAGCGTATAAGTGGAATCATACAGTACATCATATTTTGTGGTTGTTTTTTTCATTCAGCATTATTACCTTGAGACCCATCCAAGTTGTTGCATGTATGAGAAGTTTTCTTTTTAGTTGCTGAGTAGTATTTATGCTTTGGGCAAACCAGTTTGTTTAAACACTTACCTATTGACATATAGTATGTGACCTTTGGGGCTCACTTTGTCACTCAGCACAATGTCTTTGAGGCCTATGCATATTGTGTTTTTCAAAAGTTCATTCCCTTTATTGCTGAGTAGCATTCCATGGTATGGATGTATCATGAGAAACTTCTCAATTCATGTGTTCGTGGACATTTTTGCCATTTTCAGTTTTTAGTTATTACATATAAAACTGCTATGAATCTTTGTATACAAGTTTTGTACAGACATTTTAATTTAATGTGTAAATGCCTGGAGGGCATTGTGTAGTCATAAGGTAAATGTACAGTTTAGATTATTTTTTAACCCTGCTTTCTAGGGTGCCTGTACCATTTTACATTCCTTCCAGAAATATATGACAGATTGTTTCCCTTTATTTTTCACAGCATTTGGTATTATCACTATTTTTTTTAAATTTTAGCTATTATAGTAGGTGTGTAGAAATATATCATCATATTCACAATTCTCATTTCTTTTATGGCTAATGACTTTGGACATCTTTTCATGCACTTGTTGGCCATCTGTATGTCCTCTTCAGTGAAATGTCTCTTCAGGTTTTTGACTGTTTTCTAATTGGATGTTTTTTAAAGTTGAATTTGAAGAGTTCTTTTTTATATTCTCTATATTAATCCTTTGTCATATATATGCTTTGCAAATATTTTGTCCCAGACTGTAGCTTGTCTTTTTATCTTCATAATAAATTTCAAAGATCAAAAATTTTGATGAAATTGAATTTTATCATTTTTTTGTTTTATGCATGTACTTTTGATATCATGTCTAAAAACTCTTAATGGAACTTTAGATCCTAAAGACTGCTAATTTTTGAAACATTTGTTAGAATGATCTAGTGAAACCATATGACATTTTTGCCATTTAAGGTTGTAAATACTTGGTTGTAAATAATTGGGGGATTTAAATTAAAATTCAATTTCCTTAATAGTTGTAGGGCTATTCAAATATCTATTTCATGTTGGATTAATGGTGGTAGTTTGTGGTTTTTGAAGAATTGATCCATTGTTCCAGTGGATTTAATGAGTGTAAACTTGTTTGGAATGTTCTTTCTTTTTTTGATGTCTGCAGGGTCTGTAGTAATATTCCACTTCTATTCTGAAGTACACCATTGTTGTTCTGTTTTTAATTTGTTTTCTTTTTTTCTGATGGTAATTTTAACATTTTTCAGAAATCAATTTTGACTTTATAATAATTTTATGCAAAAATAAAAAATATTTATTTATGGATAATACAGCAACGTACACTTAAGATTAACTGCTCATTTTTTAAATTTGAAAAATAAAATGAACTTTTTTCAGAAAAAAAGATTTAAGCTGGGTGCAGTGGTGCACGCCTGTAATCCCAGTGGCTCAGGAGGCTGAGGCAGCAGGATAGTGTTTTCAAAGACAGCCTCAGCAAAAGTGAGGTGCTAAGAAACTCAGTGAGACCCCGTCTTTAAATAAAATACAAAATAGGGCTGGGGATTTGGCTCAGGGGTCAAGTGCTCCCAAGCTCACCACCTAGTGCCCCCACCAAAAAGAAAAAAAAGATTTATGTCGAATGTTCATATTTACTGTTTTGAGAATTGTTTAGTTCCTTTGCCCATTTGTTGATTGGGTTATTTGGGTTTTTTTTGGTGTTAAGCTTTATTGTTTGTATATTCTGGAAACTAATGCCTTATCTGTGGTGCAGGTGGCAAAGATTTTCTCTCATTCTGTAGGCTCTCACTTCATGCTCTTGACTGTTTCACTGATTTTTAAATTTTACTTATTGTACCTTAGGACTCTTGTTGAGGAAGCCAGATCCTGAGCTGATATGTTGGAGTGTTGGGCCTACATTTTCTTCTACTAGGTACAAGGTTTCTGGTCTAATTTATAGGTCTTTGATGCACATTGGGTTGAATTTTGTGCAGGATAATAGACGGGTTAAATTTCATTCTACTAAATATGGATTTCAAGTTTTCCCAGCACCATTTGTTGAAGAGTCTATTTTTTCTCCAGTGTATGTTTTTGGCACCTTTGTCTAGTGAGAGATAACTTTATTTATGTGTGTTTGTCTCTGTCTTCCATTCTGTTCCATTGGGCTTCACGTCTGCTTTATTGAGAATACATGCTACTTTTGTTACTATAATTGTAGTATAACATCTGTAACAATTAGAGAAATGCAAATTAAAACTACACTGAGATTTCACCTCATTCCAGTAATAATGGCAATCAACAAGAATACAAACAAGAAATGTTTGCTAGGATGTAGGAAAAAGGGTACACTCATACATTGCTGGTGGGACTGCAAATTGGTGCAACCACTCTGGAAATTAGTATGGAGATTTCTCAAAAAACTAGGAATGGAACCACCATTTGACTAGTTATATCACTCCTCAGTACATATCCAAAGGACTTAAAATCAGCATGCTACAGTGACACATGAACATCAATGTTTATAGCAGCTCAATTCACAATAGCTAAGCTATGGAACCAACCTAGGTGCCCCCCTCAACAGGTGAATGGGTAAAGAAAATGTGGTATATGTACACAATGGAATGCTACTCAGCCATAAAGAAGAATGGCTTTATAACATTTGCCAGTAAATAAAAGGATCTGGAGACTATCATGCTAAGTGAAATAAACCAATCCCTAAAAACAAAGGGTGAATGATCTCTCTGATATGTGAGTGTCAATATACTTTAAGGGGAGGAAGGGAAGAATAGAAATTCAGTGGTTTCAAGAAAGGGGAATGAGTGGGAATGGAGTGGGACAGGGGTAGGAGAGACAATGGAATGAATTGGGACATAACTTTCCTATGTACATATATGAATGCAGCATGGTGAATCTCAACATTGTGTACATCCACAAGACTGGGATCTAAAAAGAATAAAATATACTCCAAGTGTGTATAAATATGTCAAAATCATATAAAAATAAATTTAAAAAATTTTAAAAAGATTTATGTAAAATACATCTTTATTGTTTATGCTGTCAGAGTAAACTTCATAAATACTCAGAAAAGTCTTCTTATAAGTTTAAATTGAAATGAACATGATAAATATAAATGAATAACTTTCATTTATGTAACTAATAAAGATAATCCTTTTTTGGCAGTAATGAGGATTGAACTCAGGCATACTCCCCAATGAGCTGTATTCCCAACCCTTTTATTGAGACAGGGTATTGCTATGTTGCCGAGTCTAGCCTCAAACTTGTGATCATCCTGCCTGTCTCAGCCTCGAGTCACTGGGATTATAGTGTGTGCTACCGCACTCTACAGTTAATAATCCCTTTAAGAAAGAAACTACTTACTGGGCATAATGGCACATGCCTGTAATACCAGCAGCTCCGAGTTCAAAGCCAGCCTCAGCAAAAAGCGAGGCCATTAAGCAACTCAGTGAGACCCTCTCTCTAAATAAAATACAAAATATGGCTGGGGATGTTGCTCAGTGGTTGAGTGCCCCTGAGTTCAATTCCCAGTATTAAAAAGAAAAAAAAAAAAAAAGAAGGAACGTGAAACTATTTGATTTCCACCCAGCTTGGATTCATTATAAATGCAATCAATAAATTATATTGGATTCTCTGTAAAAATATAAATTTGCCACACTTGGGGAAATTTCAGCCAGTGTTTCTTTGAATACTTTTTCTTATCCCTATGATCTAATTCCATTCTTTTAAGGACTCTAATGATATGCATGCATGTTATAATTTTTGCTATAGCCTCCCAGGTCTTGAGTTTCTATTCATCTTTCTTTCACTTTGTTTTCTGTTACTCATACTAAGTAACTTCTATTGTTTTACCTTCAAGTACTATGTTTTCATTTTGCTGTTGTCTAATTTTTCCATTTGGTTCTTCTATCTTGTTGCTTTGGTGACTTTCAATTTCTTCATTTATTTCAAGTGTGTTTGCAATTGCTTGCTGAGGCAATTTTATGGCTCCTTTACACTTCTTAGATGATTCTACTTATGTATCTTGGTGTTCACATCCATTGCCTTTACTCATTCAGTTTAAAATATTCCTTGTTCATGGTATAATGACTAATTTTTTATGTAAACTGGATACAGCAGGTATTGTTATGATACTCTATAGAGCTCAGGTAAATTTTGTGTGTGACGTGGCCTCCTCTGAGAAGACTCTTAAGGGGAAGATGGGGTGCTACCTCATTAGTGCTCGATGGAGGTAAAAGTCTAAGTTCTACTTTTAGTTTTCTGATACCACCTCAGTAGTGAATGGAGGGAAGTTAGAGCATCTCATCACAATCTGAAGAGAGTCTAGGCTCTTCACTCAGTCTTTGCATGTGAGAGTAGGACTGGAGTCAGAATTTTTCTATAGTATTTAGATGAAGTAGAAGAGTAATTGTTTAAAAGTTTTCTGTGTTGCTAGGCTGTCTCTTTCTTGGTCCTTTGGCTAGAGAAAACAGGATTTTCTTAGGAATTTTTTTTTTGTCTGCTTCTGCTGGTGTTTGTGGGTTGTCAGCCTTCCCAGTATCTAGTATAGGGCATATGGGGCAAAAAAAAAAAAAAAAAAAAAAAAAAACAAGGAATTCACCACTGTGTTCTTAGGTCTCAAAATCTGGCTGATTCATCTTCAACTTTCAAATTACTATTTATTCATATATATATATTTTTTATTGTAGTTAATGGGGAAAATAGGGAAAAGTATGTTACTCCACATTCTCAGAAGTGAAAGTTTCTTGGCCCAGTGGCACATACTTGTAATCCCAGTGGCTCAAGAGGATGAGGCAGTAGGATTGCAAGTTCAAAGCCAGTCTCAGAAACTTAGCGAGATCTGTCTCAAAATAAAAATAGCTGGGGATGTGGCTAAGTGGTTAAGTACTCCTGGATTCAATCCCTGGTGCCAAAAAAAAGTGTGTTTCTGACACATTTTTAAAAGATCACTTTTGATGCTGTGTTGAGACTGTAGGGAAACATTGGAAGAAACAGCAAAGCAGGTGAGGATGCTATTGTAATGTTATGGGCTGGTGATAATGGTTCTGGTCAAGATGATAGGAGACAGTGAAAAGTGGCCAGATGTTGCAAATTTTTTTTTTTTTATTTTTACTTGTAGTTGGACACACTACCTTTATTTTATTTATTTATTTTTTTAATGTGGTGCTGAGGATCAAACCCAGGGCCTCACACATATGTGCTAGGCGAGTGCTCTGCTGCTGAGCCACAACCCCAGCCCTGCAAATATTTTTAAATAAAATCCAACTGTTATTTGCTTCGTTTGATGTGAGAGAAAGACATGAATCAAGGATTATCCAGGGTTTCAGTTTGAGCAACTGAAAGGATGAAATTGTCATCTACTAATAGAAACAGAGTTGAGGGAAAGGCAGGTTTGGGGAGGGATTATCAGAAGTTAAGCTTTGGATATGTTTCTAAGTAAAAATGTTGAGTAGGCAGTTGTATATTACTCCCCTACTTTTTTTTTTTTTTGTACCAGAGATGGGACCCAGCAGCACCCAACTGCATCCCCAGACCATTTTTTTAAGAAAGGGTCTTGCTAAGTTACTCAGGGCATGACTAAGTTGCTGAGGCTGGCTTTGAACTTGTAATCATCCTGCCTCAGCCTCCTGAGCCACTGGGATTACAAGTGTGTGCCTCCACATCTGGCTACTTCTCTCCTACTTATTCTGCAACTCCCATTACTTATTTGTGAGACATTCTCAATCTGTCCTCTACATATCCTAGCCTCTTATCTTTCCCCTCTCTTTAACTCTCTCTGTCCTATTTGTTTAGTAATTTCCTAAGACCTAACATCCAATTAAATTTTCTCTTCAACAGTGTATTATCTCCAATTTAATTCATTCACTGAATTTTTTAATTTTCAAGTGCCTCCCTCAGTATCTGAAGGGGACTGGTTTCCAGGATCCCCAAAAGACATAAGAATCCTTGAATGTTCGAGTTCCTTATATAAAATGGATAGTATTTGCATACAATCTACACATATCCTCCAGTATGCTTTATATAATCTTTATTTACAATACTTAATACAAAGTAAATGCTATATAAATAGTTGTTATATGATATTGTTTAGGAGATAATGAGAAGAAAAAATTTTGTATGCATTCAATACAAATGCATTTTTTCTCAATGTATCTGATTCACAGTTGATTGAATCTGTGGATGCAGAAATGCAGATTTGGTGAGCCAACTGTACTGCTTATTATTTGCAGATGTCTGCTTTGATCCTTTTTTAAATCTGCCTGCTCGTTTTTAGTATAATGTCGTACACTTTTATTTTTTATTTCTTCAAGTTCTTAATCGTTTTACCATGTTTTTTATTTCTGTTAGTTTCTTCTTTTATCGGAAGTTCATGGAAGCTTAATTCTGCTATTTGTTGTATTTGGTGATTCTTGATTATTGTGGATTATTTCATTCATGTTTAAGTGGGTTCATCAATGAAAATCCTGGTTAGTGTGGATGGCACACATGAAAGGTTTGGTATTTGCTTTTGTCAAATGCTCCAGAGAGATTAATTTTCTCTTAATTTCACAAGTCTTAACTTCTGAGGGGTTAAATAGATAGTTGAGATTTGAATCACAAACCCATGTAAAACTCAATTACATGGTTAGGAATTCATAGAGAAGGAAAAATTTTCCTCTATCCAAATGCCAGTCCAAAACAGACAAGATTCTTTGTTGTGTCCCTGTATAAGTAGGAAGGTTATTTTCCAGTCCTTTCCCTGAGAGTATAGCTGTCCTTAATGACTTCCTCATCTCAAATGGGCCCAAGAGCTCTCTATCCCTTTTGTATTAAGATTTACTCCTCTAGGTACAACTCATATGTCTTGATCTGGGTGGTTACTACAAAAATATGTTCATTTTGTGACAATCTGACTATGTGTATAATTAAAAGTTTTTGTTCCTCCTTATATGTAGATTATATTTCAACTTAAACATATATGAAATAAGAAATATGTTTAAATCATCAACATGTCAATGCTACCAAATATGATCTATACATTTAAGACAAGTCCTTTCAAAATACCTGAAAAAGAAGAATAAATAGGAAGAATCACACTATGTGATACTAAAATAAGTATAAAGGCACAATAATAAATGCAGTGTGGTATTGGTGAAAGGATAGATACATAAGAATGATTGAAAAAACCAGAGATTCTAGAAATAGACCTACAGCTGCCTACTTGGGCACAGCGGCTTATGGCTCTGTTCCCAGCTACTCATTAGACTGAGGCAGGAGGATCACAAGTTTGAGGTTGGCCTGGGCAACACAGGAAAATCTGTTATAAAGCTAAGCAAAATACAACTGCCTAATTTTTGTAAAAGGTAATTCAATGACATTTCCAATAAATTATGTTGGCATATTTGGACATTTTATAGGCAAAAGACAAAAGAACTTTGACCTAAACTTGTTACAATATATTAAAATCATTTCAAAATGGATCATAGGCCTAAAGTAAAGCATACATTTATTAAACTTTCAGAAGATAACATAAGGAAAAATTTCTTATGACTTAGAGTTCTATAAAGAGAGTAGAGTTCTTTTTGTATTTCTAAAAATGGTACTGGGGATTGAATCCAGGGATACTTTACTACTCAGCTACGTCCCTAGCCCTTTTCATTTTTTAACTTTTAGATAGGGTTTAGCTAAGATACTGAGACTGACCTCAAACTTGTGATCATCTTGCACCAGCCTCAATAGTCACTGGGATTATTGACTGGCATATACCAGTGGGCACAGTTAGGCAAAGTTTTTTTTTTTTTTTTTTTTTTTTTTTTACTGGGAACTGAACCCAGGGGCATTTAAACACAGAACCATATCCCCAGCTCGCTCTATCTATCTATCTGTCTATCTATCTATCTATCTATCTATTTATGTAGAGATAGGTCTCACTAAGTTGCTGAGGCTGACCTTGAATTTGTGATCCTCCTCTATTTTGTATTTTATTTAGAGACAGGGTCTCACTGAGTTGCTTAGCACCTCACTTTGCTGAGTCTGGCTTTGAATTCATGATCCTCTTGTCTCAGCCTCCTGAGCCACTGGGATTACAGGCGTGCATCACCATACCCAGGCAAAGAATGCTTTAAATAGGAAAATCCACAAAATAAAGTTGATAAGTTAGAATTTATCAAAATTAAACATTTTGCTCTGAAAAAGACACTAGTAAAAAATAAAAATACAAGCTATGAACTGGGAGAAAATATTTGCAAATCACATACCTAACAGACGATTTATATCCTGATATATAAAAAACTCTTGAAATTCAAACACATAAAAACCACCCAGTTGAGGATCCAAGATGCCGGGATAGGGGGAGGCTGAATCCTTGTTGCTGCGTAACCTGGGATTTAAGCAATGGAATACTGTTTCTCTGCTAGTTATTAGAGGACCCCTGACAGCTGCTCTCCTGCATGAATCCTGGCAGCTGTTTCCGCACAGGACCCCAGGCCTTAGCACCTATGCAGGACCCCCGACTGACCACCCATGCATGATCCCCAGCCACCATTCCCATGTGGACCCCCATCTACCAGCATGGGGCTTCCCCTGGTGGCCTCCACCTTGGGACACTGCAACCACTGCCATAGTTTCCTGTACCTGGGGACACTTGACAGGGACGGAGGTACCTGCCAGCCACAACACTGCAAGCCACGGGGCTGCATCTCTGAACACTTCGCCCAATGCCCCACCCAGCGCAGCCTGACAACCGATCTCTGAAAGCAGTTGCCTCCATCTTGGTACACCTTTGTCATCATCTTTAGTTGGGTCAACTCCCAGCCTAGGACATCAGCTGGGGCCTAAAGGTAATATCAAGGTACGTATAGTCTCCCAACTCCCCCTCCTCTGCATCCACTAACCCAGCAGCTTGCAGCTACATAGCCAGTGAGTAGCTCACAAAGACTGGTCCTGAGCTGCCCAATATAAAACACTCTCTGAGACAGGTGTACCGGCCCCAGAGCACAGCCCACAAGACCTCAGGTTCCTGGTTAGGAAGTAGAAAGGGAAGGGGTGAGTGAGATACAGTTTAGAGGCTAAAGTAGAGACCAGGAATTGTGAGGTACACAGGAGATATAAGGAGATAAGACCAGGTGCCCACATCACACGAGTGGGCTCCAAAGGAGATTCTTGGGGTGCGGTTTCCCAATGGGGACCAGCAAGTGCTATATCCCACATCCAGGAGTTCCGTCCCCAAAACCAACCCTCCCACCCTAATAACTTTCACCATCCTGAGGGTGGAGATACCAGCGAACAACAGACAACCCCACCTATTGAATGGGAAGGGAAATAGAAAATATATTGCACTCTAATAGAACCAATCCTTTTTAATTTTCCTTTGGGATTTTTTTTCCTTTTCCTTTTTTTCTCTCTCTCTCCTCCCTCCCTCACATCCCCAACATTTGTGAAAATAAGTACTTTTCATGGATTAGGCTACTGAGGACTGGGATGTCTGAATAGTATATTACAATTGTGTTGTATATTCTTTATCTCTTATTTTTACATTTTTAATTTTTCTTAATTTTTATGTTTGTTTTTTGTACTCTATATAGTCTTCCCACTTACCTGTCTCCCCAAAATCACTTTCTCTCTTTTCTCCTGCTATTAGCCAACTTCTTTTGATTTTATTCTTCTTTCACGCTCCCAAATGTTGAGAGCCACAGCCTAAGGGGCCCCAGCAAACTTCCAGCTGCCAGCAAACTTCCAGCTGCCGGCTGATGATTGGCTCACAGCGGCCCCAGCAACATCTAGCTGATTGGCTCCTCTGCGGTGATGCTCATTGGACTGTTTCCCCGCCCTTTCAGACCACGGAGCTGCTCATTGGGGGACTTTTTTGGCTCCGCCCACGTGACCCAGCCAATCGGCCTCAAGAGCAGGAGGATTGTGGGAGGTGGAGAGAAGCTTGTGGGGGAGAGAGAGGCTTGTGGAAAGCCGGTGGTGGCAGTTGAGGCTCTGAGGGTTTTTCCTGAGAGGCTGTTTTGTTTGGCGTGTGTGGTTCTAAAAATAAAGTTAGTTTCTTTTGACAAGTGGCTCCTGATTGTGCCCAGCCAGACTGCGGCACCCAAAGATCTAATAACTCTATATCCTCACATCCTGCCTCCTTAATATCTCATCATACACCCCATGCCCTGTTCTCTCTTTGTCCACCATCAGATATTGTAGACCCTTTTGTAAACCTACTGTTTATATATTGTAGATAATAAGTGAACTCACCATTTGTATAAATTGTGACAAAACTGTAAACATCTTAATAGGAACTACTTGATTTAAGGCTGTATATTGTTTGTATTGGGATCTGTTAATATTGATCTCCCCTTTAAAGGAGAGGTATTGGAACCCCGCAGGGACACTATAAACCTATACGGTGAAAACTGTAACACCTCAGATCTACAGTGCTAGAAGGGAAGACACATGAACAACATGAAAAAACAAGAGAAGAAAGGGCCCCAAACAAACCAAGATACTGCATTATTAGAATCCATGGCCAGCACAGTAGAAGAAATATCAGAAAATGAGTTAAGGATGTACATAATTAAAACGTTCTGCAAATTAAAGATGACATAAGAGCAAATACAGGCAGTAAAAGATCATTTTGATAAAGAGCTACATAAGCAAATATAGGAAGCAAAGGATTATTTCAATAAGGAGACAGATTCTGAAAAAAAAAATCAGAAATCCTTGAAATGACGGAAACAATAAACCAAATTAAAAAACTTAATAGAAAGCATCAACAAAAGATTAGATCACTTGGAAGACAGAATCTCAGACAATGAAGACAAAATATATAATCTTGTAAAGGACATCGACCACACAGTGAAAATGGTAAGGAACCATGAGCAGAACATTCAAGAATTATGGGACAACATAAAAAGAAGAATCTAAAAATTATTGGGATAGAGGAAAGCACAAAGATACAAACCAATGGAATGATCCATCTATTTAATGAAATAATATCAGAAAACTTTCCAAACATGAAGAATGAACTGGAAATCAAATGCAAGAGGCTTACAGGACACCAAATGTACAAAATTACAACAGATCTACATCAAGGCACATAATAATGAAAATGCCTAGCATACAGAATAAGGAGAGAATTTTGAAAGTCATGAGAGAAAGGAATCAGATCACATATAGAGGGAAACCAATTAGGATCTCTGCAGATTTCTCAACCCAGACCCTGAAAGCTAGAAGATACTAAAATAATATATACCAAGCTCTGAAAGAAAATGGATGCCAACTAAGAATCTTATATCCAGCAAAATTAAGCTTTAGATTTATGACAAAATAAAAACCTCCCATGATAAACAAAAGTTAAAAGAATTTACAACTAGAAAGTCTGCACTATAGAATGTCCTCGGCAAAATGCTCCACGAGGAGGAAACAAAGAAACAACAATGAAAATCAGCAAAGGGAGGTATTACACTAAAGGAAAAACAATCAATGGAGAAACCAAGTCAAGTTAAAAACCAAAAATAAACAAAAATGACTGGGAATACAAATCATGTCTCAATAATCACCCTGAATGTTAATGGCCTAAAATGACCTAACCTCATCAATCAAAAGACACAGACTGGCAGACTGGATTAAAAACAGGGACCCAACGATATGCTACCTAGGAAAAGACATCCACAGACTGAAGGTGAAAGGTTGAGAAAAAACATACCACTCATATGGACTGTGGAAATAAGCAGGAGTTTCCATCCTCATATCAAATAAAGCATACTTCAAGCCAAAGTTAATAAAAAGGGATAAAGAAGGATAATACATACTGCTTAAGGGAACCATACATCAACAAGACATAATAATTTTAAATATATATGTCCCAAACAATGGAGTATCTATGTTCATCAAACAAATTCTTCTCAATTTCAAGAGACAAATAGACCACAAAAATAATTTTGGGTGACTTTAACATACCTCTTTCACCACTGGATAAATCTTCCAAACAAAATATAAACAAAGAAAGTATAGAATTCAATAATGCAATCAATAACTTAGATTTAATACACATATAGAATATTTCATCCATCTATGAATGAATATACTTTCTTCTCAGCAGCATATGGATCCTTCTCTAAAATAGACCAGGTATTATGCCACAAAGCAACTCTTAGCAAATACAAAAAAAGTAGAGATATTACCCTGCATTCTATCAGATCATAATGGAATGAAATTAGAAATCAATGATAAAATAAAAAATAGAAGCTACTCCAATACTAGAGACTAAATAATATGCTATTGAATGAATAATGGAATTCAGAAGACATCAAAGAGAAGATGAAAAAATTCTTAGAGGGAAATAAGAACAATGATACAACATATCAAAACTTCTGGGACACTATGAAGGCATTACTGAGAGGAAAGTTCGTTGCATAGAGTTCATTCCTTAAAAGAAGGAAAATTCAATAAATAAATGACCTAAACATTACATGTCAAAGCCCTAGAAAAAGAAGAAATCAAATCAACACCAAAAGCAGAAGACAGGAAATAATTAAAATCAGAGCTGAAATCAATGAAATTGAAACAAAAGAAACAATTGGAAAAACAAAACAAAAAGTTGGTTCTTTGAAAAAATAAATAAAATTGATAAATTCTTAGCCATGCTAAGAGGAGAGAGAAAACTCAAATTACTAAATCCATGATGATAAGGGAAATATCACAACAGACACTACAGAAATACAGAAGATAATTAGAAATTATTTTGAAAATTTGTACTGCAATGCAATAAAAAATACTGAAGACAATGATAAATTTCTAGTCATATGATTTATATAAACTGAATCAGAACAATACACACAAGTTAAACAGATCAATTTCAAGCAATGAGGACACCATCAAAAGCCTACCAACCAAGAAAAGTCCAGGACCAGGTGGATTCAGAGCTGAGTTGTACAAGACCTTCAAAGAAGAACTAATACAAATACTCCTCAAATTATTCCATGAAATAGAAAAAGAGGGAACCCTTCCAAACTCATTCTATGAAGCCAACATTACCCTTATTCCAAACCAGACAAAGACATCAAAGAAAGAAAACTTCAGACCAATATCTCTAATGAACATAGATGCAAAAATTCTCAATAAAATTCTGGCAAATTGAATACAAAAACATTTTTAAAAGATAGTACACCACAATCAAGTGGGGTTCATCTCAGGAAAGCAAGGTTGGTTCAACATACAGAAATCAAAAAAATGTAATTCATCACATCAATAGACTTAAAGATAAGAACCATAAGATCATCTCAATAGATGCAGAAAAAGCATTGGATAAAATACAGCACCCCTTCATGTTCAAATCACTAGAAAGACTAGGGATAACAGGAACATATCTCAATATTGTAAAAGCTATCT